ATGAGGCACCCATTTTTCGTATTTTTTTATTTTATTGATTTGACGCAAGTGAGTCAATATTGTGGGTAAGGTAACGTTAAACCATGCCGCTAATTCCTGGGTAGTTTGACTAGGATCGGCTTCCACTATCTCTCTTAATTCATCGTTATTCACCTGTGTGGGCGGTCTTCATCGTGGGTCGTTCTTTAAGTCGAAATTTCCATCACGAAAGCGTTTAAACCAAAATCGCACGGTGCGTTCATTAGTAGACCCCTCTCCAAACGCAGCATTGATATTGCGGGCTGTTTCTGCCGCGTTAGTTCCGCGTCGGAACTCGTATTCAAAAATCACACGAATTTTCGCAGTATCCATCTTTCTTGTCTAAATTGAATAACAAAAACAATTGAAAGTCGATATTCAAATGTTTCCAATTAAAAAAAAAAAACACAGAAACCATTTGAAAAAAGTTTCATTCGAAAACCTCAAACCATGAAGATTCTATGAAAATTCAAAGAACCTATTGCAATAAAACGGCAATTTCATACTTTAACCCCTAATATTTATGCATCACACTAATCAAATAAATCAACAAAATGATTGGTTTCTTCGCAATGAAATTGGTGATAACTTATTTCTGGAAACAGTTGTTCACCAATAAAACTGCTTAACGATTTATTGACCAGAAAATCGGTTTTGCGTGATTGAATTTTGTTCGGATTTTTGAAATATGATTTTATGCACATTTCACAGCAACGACAAATTTTTATAACTGTACGTGATGGATAGATTAAACCACCTTTGTCTTTGTACGCTATCAAAGTAATTTTATCTTCATTTGAAGTAATTAAAGCACCTATGCAGATTTTACACTTTAGATGCTTTATTAATGAGCTGACTACGTAACCAGCTATGTACTCAATAGCACTTTCAGCAAACCGAGATAAGCAAATCGATGCTATCTCTAAATGATGTTGACTGTCGGTACCGATCTGAGACTCTTCCTTATCTTCTGCCGTTGTAGTTAGGTTGATTCTTTGCAACTCAGATGAACAGTTTAAAATCGATATTTTCTCTAAAGGAACACAGTTACCAGTTGATACTTCGATCAACTTAGTATGTACCAATATTTTTTTGTAAATGGACTCGAATAAACGTGGTGTCGGATTGTCATTGCTCCCTCCGTGAGATCTAATACTGGCAAAAAACAACTCTATGTGGTCTTGTGAGATCTTGGGTATATACTTGATATAGGAACTCCCATTTACAATTAAATCACTATACATTCCTTTCACACTTTCTATTGCTACACAAAATCCGAGGAATCCCGTGTTTCGAGGCGATTTTATTAATTTTATATTGCAGGTTTGATTTTTTTCGGTACTCACGGTTAGAAGAAAATCTTTGCACTGTTCTAATTTCTCGAAAATAATGGGTGCGTTACCGTGATTAAGTGCCAGTTTAAAGCCATAGTTATGAACTTTTGAATCCAGTATGTCAAACAAGTCATTGATAATAAGTAGCATATCAGCTGTTGCGTCTACGTCTTGGAAAGCAGGTAGTTTAAGTTCATTCTTGTAAAATAGCAATGCTGTTGCTACGCTGCGTCTAAATAGTTGGGCTAAAACTGGCTAGTCTAAACTAGCCAGTTTTACCTTCATAACGTTTTGCTTAAATTAAATGTGTGTAATGCGTAATTTGTTTGCTAAATGAAATTGTTCTTTTTCCTGCAATTCTTGTAATTTTTTTATGTATTCAATTATGCGTCTCTTGCTGTCGTTCAATATTTTGTAGTGCTCAAATGCATTTCTAACGAGTTTCAGCATATGCACTGGATCTAAGAAAATAAAAATGTGAGCGTTAGTGATCGGGTGCTTAAAGCACGTTTTAAGGTTTTCCGGGTCTAGCACGCTTCCCAGCATTTTAGCCATTGATATGTTTGTCGGGCATTCGTCAAAGGTCAAAACTTTAATAATCACGTTACTTTTGTGACATAATTGAATCGCTCGTGTACAAGCAACACTAGTGCTTGGTTCCATTGTCTTCAGTCGCCTGTTACATTCTCTCTACATCGTCTCTATTTGTAAAAGATTCAGAGCATTCGCTCCTTGTGAAAGAGTTCGTCTAGGGCAGAGGTTCCCAGACTTTTTTCTCATAGACCATTTTCAAAATTTAGCTGGTTCCGGTGGACCCCCTGCAGCTACATTTCTGCCATATTCCATATCCATATTATTTTTTGTCAACGCCAACGTAGACCCCCGTCGAGTCTCCCGTGGACTCGACGCCTTACTGTACTGTCACCATACCTATTTCTGCAACCAAGCAGTAATGTGAGCATTACTGCGTTCCGATATAGAAGGGGGTGCTGGCGAAATTAAAGGTACATGGGATTTGTCAACTTATGTCTCAGGGTGACGGGCGCAGTGGTAGTACCCCTCAGATCTTTGCAAGTTAAAGCTCATAGTGGCACTGCAACTGTCATGGATCGACGTGTCATTTACGACCAGGCGCACGAATTGTTCCTCTCGTCATTTGGTTTCGTATAAAAAAATTAAAACAAAAATTTACAAATTATTTTATAGTAAGCAACACCTTCCTTACTAAGTTGCATGCTATCTGAAATTTAACATAATTAAAGTTTCTCTTTAGTATTTCTTACGAATCTCCGCCGTATATAATTATCAAAATCTTTACAATTGAGACGCTCATAACAAATCACCTGGCTCATAGTCTAAGCTATAGAATTACCATTTGAATTAAGGCTCGTTGCATACCTAATACCATACATACGATCGTGAAGATAACTCGAAGTGTTTTGGCTCGTAAAACGCATTATAAGTGCGGCTTCACGCGTTCTCGGAATTTACCTTTATTACCCCTTTTGCTCTTTGAGTTTGTCAGGACTTGAATGAACTTACGTATGTTTCGAGATGGAGTGTCACTTCGACGTTGTCGTAAGTTACGTTGGAATGGTACGAGTATATTTATTGTTTTATATTTTGGACAGAAAAGTTTAAAAGAAAAAACAAAAAGAAAAATGAAAGAAAAATATTGTCCGAGTTTGTCTAAGTGTAGTTATATTCTGCATAAAGATATATAATTATTATTATTATATTAACGACCTCCATGGTCGACTGGCTTGCACACTGGTTTTCATGATGTCGCCATCTTTGAGATCCCGGGTTCGATCCTCGGCAGGGTAAATGTAGAAACTAACTTTTCTATATTGTGTTGGATCTGAGTATTTGTGGTATCGTCGTTGTTTACGATTTCCATAATGCAAGTGCTTTAGTTACTTACTTTTGGGATCCGAGTAACGTATGTGATTCTGTGTAATATGTATTTCTTAGAAGTACCCTTTCTTACAATAATCATTGGGTTTTAAGAAGATTTTTAAGAACTAATATATATACAGCATTTAGAATCCTACTTGGCATCTCTTTCTTATTATCCAAAAGTTATTTCACATCGTTTCCGTCTTTTCTAAAATCCTGTAGCGCCAGATATTGTGCTCGTAAATAATGGTCTTTATTCTATAATATTGTCTTTACACGATGTGGTAGGTCTTTCAAAAATGGGGTGCATTTACACATATTACTTAAATTGTTTTACAAATCACGACCTACTTACTTACTTTTAAGCAAAGAGATATAAATAAAAAATGTGACAATGACATTAAAATGAACGCGTTTAAAAATAATAATTTTTTGAATTCCGAACAACATCCGAGTTCAAAGTTTCACCGATAACATGTCCATTATAAGAGGAACACGTGGGAACAGAAAGCACACGGTAGCTCGCGGCGCTACCGTGGTTTTCACTCACGCACGACCCTTGCTTGTTTCGGCACCGCTACGCTAAATTGGTGATGATTTCGGCTTCTGACACTACCGCGCCCTCCGGACTATAATTAGAAAGGGTTCAAGTGGCAATGATTTTTTTTTACAAACTGAAGTACTGACTCATAACCGTCTAAGGACAGTTTTATGAAATACGACCCGAGTTTGATTTCAGTCTGAAATAGTTTGTTCCTTTCTAGAGATATTCATTAAATTCTATCGTATTATTATTGTCTAAGTTAATACATCGTATATATTTAACTATTGTGACAGTTTATGATCTAGCATAGACTTATGAGTAGATTTGAGACTCTGTATATCTCTGTGTAATAAGTAATATCAGTGAGGGATAAGTATGGTTGGACTAGAATGTACTATAATGCTAATGCAATTTCAATATAATAGATTTTTATTACATCAGAAAGTACTTAATATTCAAACATTACGTGCACTCTCAAAACTTTATAAACGCACGACACATATAAATCAATATGTTAGCTGTAAAAACATTAAATCCGCCTACGATTGTCAGCTGCATTTTCCCAGCGGCGCTACCTGTTCATTCAGTGCGAACGTGCCTATGGTGGGGGTAGCGTCTTCCGCGTAACGTTATCAGTAGTTTCCGCACCCTCACTGCGACTTAAGCGCAGTTGGCAATCGCAACCGCTCCCGGTCGCACGTATTGACACTTCTAGTCTTCTTTAGCTCTTTGAAAATCGATCGTATTTTGTTTCGTGTGTTAGGGCCGCAGTGAAAGTGTTGTTTATAAAGTTGTTCCTTGTGGTAGACGTTGTGTTTCAAGGTGTGTATTATAAGATCTTAATAGACTTTACTGATGTAGCGTTTCTATTTGTAATACAAATAGTTTTGTGTATCTACCTATAGCTGTATTAATAGCGTTTGTAACATAGGTAAGCACCTATAATTATAGAGGTTAGATCTTTTGAGAGCTTCATAGTGTTAGACTTTAGTCGCTACAGGCTTTGCATTGAATAGAGTTCTTTAATTGTTTTATGTACTTTTAAGACATTGAAAAACATACCAATAGTCATATCTCCCGATATTTATGTACCTACTCTTTGTCATAAACATAGTCACGCTGATATGGTGAAACCAACTCTACGTATTTAGATGTAAGGTACCAATTAACATGATGGCAGGTGTTTGATAAGTTATCATTCGCAGGCTAGCCCCGCCCGTCGCAAGCATCATAGACCTGACAAAATGTTCGCCGTGATGCAAATCGACGAAGATCACACCAGGGACTTTAGGCGCAAACTCCGCCAAAAATGCGAGTTTGTGTGCAAGTTCTGCCAACGTCGGTTCACTAAGTCCTATAATCTGATGATACATGAACGCACCCATAAGAGCCCTGAGCTGTCTTTCAGCTGTGAAGTCTGCGGGAGGAGTTTCAAGCGGCAGGATAACTTACGTCAGCACAGGTAAGTCGTGTTTTGTGTTTTGAAACTAACTTTTTTTGTCTATTCTTTTTTTGACATCTCATTTTGGAACTATTTTTTTTTAGGTTTTGATTTTGCGGTGTTTGAACGGTTTTAACTAATAATTAACCTGTAAAATAAAAGGAAAATCAATTGAGAAACAAAAAAATTACAAAAATGAAAAACGCCGCGAAACCTTTTAAATATACTTACACAAATTCAGAATAAAAAAATGCAATTAACTGGGAGATATTATTATATAAGATATTCTGTAGTTTAAAAACAGGCCGTGTTAGGAACAAAAATCAATTATCTAATTTAAATATTTAATTAAATTTCGATTTAAGAACTGTACCGTAATTGGAACTAGTAGAGCTCCTTTTAAAAGAGTTCTTCTAGAGAAATATTGTCACCTTACCTATTTCTGTCACCAAGCAGGAATGTGAGCATTATTGCCTTTTGGTTTTGAAGGGTAACATGGGACTTGTTAACTTATGTCTCAGGGTGACTTGCATATCTTTGTGATTTAAAGCTCTGTGTGGCACTGCCCTTCACTTGGTATCATAAAAAAATCTATCGATATACTTATAGTTAATAACATTTATTTGTCAAACAAAATATAATTAACTAAGTAATTAGTGAATCATATTTTGTTAAATTAAACTTTTTGTAAAATTAAACTACCTCTGTTGCCGAACGGTTACCATGCCGAACTGCCACGCGGAGGTCCCAGGTTCGATTCCCGGGTCGGGAGAAATATTTGTATGGCCTACATTTATTTCTCTCGTGAGTTTGGGTGTAATTTGTGGTTGTCTACGTGTGTGTCCATGGCACTCGCAACACAGGGTTTCCCTAGTGCGGGGCTATGTTGAGTGTGTGCGTTATTATTATTATATGTTTGTCTGTAAAGACAGACAATGTGTTCCAAATTTAATATAGAGTGTAATAAGGTGGATAAACATTCAATTCTTAAATGAACTAATACAATACAAAACAAATTTTCTTCATTGCATGTTGGGACAAATAAATACATAATAACACAAAAAAAGACCGATACAACAGGCGGTCTCATTGCTGATTAGCAATTTTTTGTAGCAGTAGAGCTCCTTGTGAAAGAGTTCGTTAGGGCACTACTGCCAACTTACCTATTTCTGCCGCCAAGCAGTGATGATCGCATTACTGTGTTCCGGTTTTGAAGGGTAAGGGTGCTGGTGAAATTATAGACACATGAGACATGTCAACTTACGTCTCAGGGTGATGGGCGCAGTGGCATTGCCCCTCAGATCTTTACGATTTAAAGCTCTGAGTGGCACTGCAACTGTTATGGATAGGCGTGTAGTTTACCATCAGGCGCACGACTTGTTCGTCCCGTCATGTGATTCGGATTATAGGGAAAACTATAAGATAATTATTAATTGGAGATGCAACAGAATACGTATTTAGCAAACAAATAAGAAAAAAAAAACAATAAAAATACTTAAATAAATTAAAAGTAGGATTACATAGAACATAACACTAATAACAACACATAAAATTAAAAACCTAATACATGTAGTAATATATACAAAAGTTATACTAAAAGTAGATTCCAGCGGTATCTTTTACCAACGTTGTAACAGTAGTAGTTCGAGATGTACAGTCGACTGGACGTGTGACCGGCCAGACCCTAATTCAAACCGACACGCCAGGCACGACCTTGCGTCCACACCTGACTGACGCGCAACCGCGAGATATGTAGGTCGAACTAGAAGGAACTATGGGAAGGAGATTATTTAAATAATTTTAGATAGGTCTTTATTCCCACGCTATCATCGAAAGATCTTAAAAAGATGTCGCACCCTTTTTTTTCTATATCTATAGTAGCTCTCTTGGTATAATAATGCCCCATCAGCTTTTCTTTAAATTACACTTTTCAGGAGAGAGTTTTAAAGATTCTACGAACGAAATTTGGCGATAAATTTCACCATCATCATTGTGGCCGTTTTGTTATCTTCTTCCATTCTTGGCGATCTTGTGCCCGACTCATCCAGTCCCGACCTCCGTGTCGTCGGATGTCGTCCATCCAGCGCTGCGTTGGTCTTCTGCGCCTTCAGATGTCCGCTCAAGTACTCGCCTTGTTCAGCGCCTCTCGTCCATTCTCGCTATATGCCATGCCCACCTCTTCTTTACCACGACAGCCATGACATCTTTAACCTTAGCCCTATTTCGGATCTAAGCGTTGCTATTTCGGCCTTGCAGGGTAACTCCGAGCATTGCTCTCTCCATGCCCCTCTGTGCGGCTCGGAACCTCTCGGCGAACTGCTTTCTTAGAGTCATGGTACGGAAACCATATCGATACCTTTGTTGCGTTTAAATAAGACAGTTCTACAATTTCAATATTAATAATTTGTTTCATGACATTCGCAATATTTTTATGGCTTTCGTGTAATTAAAGCACATTTGATATTTTTTAAAATTATCAAGTGACGGGATGAACAAGTTGCAGTGCCACTCAATCGCAAAGATCTTAGGGATACTGCTACTGCGCCCATCACCCTGAGACATAAGATGACAAGTCCTATGTGCATGTAATTTCACTAGCACCCCTACCCTTGAAAACCGGAAGATAGTAACGCTGATATTACTACTTGGCGGCAAAAATGGGTAAGGAGGCAGTACTTCCCAGGACGAACTCTTTCACAAGGAGCTCTACTGCTACTTTCTTATCCTAATAAATAACGTATTCTTATCGTGTCGGTCATCATGTCATTCGCATTATTTTTATGGCTGTCATGTAATAAAAGCACTTTTGACGTGCATAGTGGTATGACGTATCGGTGGCATATACAATAATGCTTGCCATCGTGGTGAAAGGATATGCCAATCGATGTAAGATACTCGCCGATTGTCAGACGTGCAAGAGAGGAATGGCACGTTGTACGGGGACATCCTTTCGTGCACCCCATTTTTTTTTTCTTTTTTAATAATAACGCACACACTCAACATAGCCCCGCACTAGGGAAACCCTGTGTTGCGAGTGCCATGGACAGACACATAGACAACAACAAATTACACCCAAACTCACGAGAGAAATAAATGTAGGCCATACAAATATCTCTCCCGGCCCGGGAATCGAATCTGGGACCTCTGCGTGGCTGTCCGGCGTGGTAACCGTTCGGCCACAGAGGCAGTTAATGATTACATATCGCTTTATTATACCAAGGTTATGATCAAATCAAAATCAAAAAGTCAAAGTCAAGTAATCATTCAGTTCAAAGGAAAAATTTTTACACTTGAAAACGTCATTTTTTAAGCTAATGCTCATTAGCTACGTTGACCTCCCTAAGAAGAACGAGCAAGAAACTTAAATGGACTGCTCTTGTCAAACAAATTTAAATGCTATGAAATACACGTTGAATCATAATTGTGTGGAATCTAGACTCATATTGTCTTTCCATACATCTTTATCTGACACATACCCTTCAATTTTATAATGTGACTTTTCAATTAATATATTTTTGATGTAAGTTTTAACCTTAGGAAATGATAGTCTTAATATGAATGTTGGTAAATACGTAAATAAATTAATATTGTTTACACATAACTAGGTGTAGCAACGAAATAAAGTTTGAACATTTTATATCCCGATTAAAATTAACCAGAAGCTTTATATTGTTATATGTTGGTTTCTTTGGGATATTTCAATCCATTTCAATTCCAGGCTTTTAAAGAATTTAAGAATATCCAAAATCAACACGAATTAACACAGTGAGGCTGTGAAGAAAACAATACTCACATCAAATTCATCTGGCATTGAAAGATTGAGCTATAAACGTGAATGATACGCGCAGTTAACACCGAGGCTCGTTTGTACTGGCGCTCTTATCTTATTATTGTAAAACGCTTAGATCACAACTTTATTGTCTGCAAACACAACCTTAATTACCGTCTTTTAAAAAACATAAAGAACTCAAAAGATTAAGGCGACTGTCAATATCATGTCAATTGGCAAGTTCATTAAACTTCTTAATTCATGAAGGTGCGTACGCATGTCATCTGCGTGTCAAACGAAGCGGATTGTGGCGGCATTCCTCCGGCGGCTGTCATTGTCATTAACATACAATGTGCTGGTAGCGACAAGTTGTTCTGGGGTCGCGACCCTAAATAATGCAAATCTCGACAATGTTGCCACTTTCTACTCTTCTTAGAATAAAATAGGCGACAAAGCGCGACAGACCGGCGAAACACATCATGGACGCGTCGTGAACATAAATTGTACCATATTCGGATATCCTTAATGTTTTTGTTTGTAAATTCGCTTAACGGTTGGAAACACAAAGTAGAATGTTAGGATTCATACCTTAATGCTGCGGATTACGCCACACAATTGGAATTTGCAAGACAGCGGTTTGCTGATAAGGTCTGACATTAGTCTCGCTAGATCTCCCAAAAAACGGGTTCAGATTGCCTAAACGCGCCGTACACGCATTACATGTTTTAAGAGAGTACTCCGTGTGAAACCTTAACAGTGGAGTCCGCATCCGGGCTACCGAGATCGTCGATAGATCGCTCACGCCGCATGAGAGTCGTGATCTCGTGACGTGCCCGTGTGTTAACGGTGCTTAATGGGCCCTAATGCTTCCGAAACTGTGCGAACGCGGACGGTAGCCCGCAAGAGCCAGCCACACGTGACTGCCATGGTATAATTTGCAGCTTATGCTCCGCCCGTACAAGGAACAACAATGTACCACGCTTTACCGTACTGCGATGAAATTACGGTAATTTGTAGGTGTACGAGGTACCGATACTCATATTTGGTTGCTCTAAGCTGTGTAAAGTTGTAAGAGATCGTCTTAGTATTGCTTACGGTTTCACATACGGTTTGACTTTTATATCCTGTAACAGATGTCGCCTTGTTTTGTTTTGTTATATACAGATACCGAAGCAAAATTTTTGAATGTCATTGCTTGCATAGCTTCAGTTTTCACTTCGTGTACGTCCATCAGGTTTCCTTGACAATAACACATT